GCAGGCGGGGATCAAACTCATGCATAAGTGGCTTAAGCTTCTTAGTGCAGTGCTTTAACCCGCTGCACCACCAGGGAGGGCCGCAGTTACCTTTTTAAAAGGTAACTGTCTTTTTAAAAGACAGGAATTCTGGATGACCCTCCATTTTGCTCCAGACTAAAAGGAAAACATTTTCACTACAAAATCTAATGTGGCTATAAGATGATAGCCACATAACCTATTCAGTGTTGTTTAGTGGTCTGACTTATGCATATTACCTGTGGGTTTCTTATGTTTCTTATGTTTAGTCACTTATCACTTAAATCATTTAGGATGTTAAATCTGCCTAAAGTGTTTCAGGAAAGCAGCTTGTAAGAAATGATATTTAAGCTATGTTTTGAAGAAAATAGAGCTTCAAATGAATGAGGTGAAGAGGGAGGATATTACAGACAGAAGGAATAATATAAAGCAACAGTGGTCAGAAGGCACTAAGTAGTCTGGTATAATTGGGATTAAAGGTATCTGGAGACATGATGGCATAAACATATGGATAATAAACACAAGGTCATTTTATGTGGTAAGAATTAGAGAAAATATAACCTTCATTTTCAAAGAAGTAAAGTGTTTTTGAGCCAAAAAGTAACAAGGTTTCTTTTATTATCTATTAATATGGTGTGTTTGTGTGTTGGGGGGTCTGAGGGTGTTGGGTCCCAGCCGGGATGAGCCTCCCCAACCACCCCCGGAGCTTAAGCACAAGATCATAATAGGAAGAAGACATCTTGCCACTTGTGTGAGTGGCTTAACTGATTAATATCCACCCTGATCACAGTGGCACATGTGAGGGAGATTTCCTCCTGCCCCCAGGCCAACATCCTGAGATTAAGGGTATAAAAGAGAGGCTGGAAAGGATAATGAGAGAGAATGTTTTGCTGCAACCAAACGTGCTGACTCTTCAATTTCGACGTCCCCCGCGCAGACTCGTATCCCTGCCGTGCGGGCGCGGCATGAGGGGTGGCTTTAAAATACATATTTTCACCATCCTGTGAATGTAATACATGAATGTGGTATTACAACATTTCCCTGGTAATAAAGTGTATAAGTCTAGATTAAAGTTGATATATTAAAAGGTAGCTGTCACCAGTCCCTCCCTGGCTAATTTGATAGAAATATCTGCTGTTAGCAACTTTATTAAAGCACAAAACTCATTTTTTAAAGACTTATTTATGCTTACAGAACTGGGGTACAGGCCAGAGGTGTGGTGGGTGAGAGGATTCACCAGAAACAGAATAGAGAGAACAGGTAGATCTACTGAAATACACTGCTGAGGGGAGAAGTGGGCAGGTCAGGAGAGGTCTGCTACACCATGTGAGTCACCTCCCTGGCTGGGGATCGAAGTCGTGCTGCATTGGCTTTAAAGAGCTTCATAATGTGGTGATTTAACCTGTTGTACCACCAGTGAGGCCCCACAAAACTCATTTTTATTGACCAGGCCTTTCAATGTTGATTTGCCAGCCTCATGGCCATAGGGTAACATGAAGCTAGTATTAGACTCAGATTTCTTTCATGAAATGTCTTTCACAGATTTACCGGTATCAGTAAATCTGTCTTATATCAAGATCTACACATTCAAAGGCTCTTCTAATCTGCCATTCTTGGGTTTGGTTGGGGCATAGAAATAAAAAAGTTGTATATGCTTTGCCCAAAATGTCATCTCAGCCACAATCTGTTTCTGGAAGTGGCATGAAGGAATATGCATCCCAGAGTTTCAAGATGTGCCTTACTAATCTTTATGCATTTTCCACTGTTTCAGTTAAACCAACTCCACATTATTGTTTTGAAAATTAAAAAAGATTAGTCAATATAAATGCTTTAGAGTACATAATAACTAGTATGTTATTTGCATATTAGTTCTGCCTCTTGGTAAAAATTTATTAGCTTACTGATTACTGGTCACTACTTATAATCCTGAAAATTGAGTGTTCACAACTCCAAGGGGGCCATTCACCTCATATTATAGATTTATAGTTACTATAACTATTTTCCAGCAGATGGCAAATGGCCATCTATAGCTAATTCCCAAAAAGTTTCCATATGCACTGTGAGTGACTGCAAAATAATGTTTACATTATTTATCCTAAATTAATTTTGAAACAATGACTACTTTTTATCATTGTCAACTATAACAATTATAATTAATTTACCTGGCTTGTATTTTAAAATTATGTAATCGATTTTAGGTTTCCAGTTTTTTGTTGTATTTTTGTTTGTTTGTTTGTTTTTTATTTTATAACAGTTCATTTTTACATCATTTTGTACATTTTTTTCTATCAATTGTAATCCCCGCGGGTTTCCCATCACCAAGTCACCAGTGTGTCATTACCATAATCCTGTGCACTTCCCTCCCCACACCCCCCCCCCATTTTTTATCCCATTCCCCACTCCACCCCCACAAAATGTCTCTGGTATATGGTTGTTCATTATTCTTGTTATTTTCTCACCTGGTCCATTATATTCCTGCTATAAGTGAAACCATCTGGTACCTTTCTTTCTCTTTCTGGCTTATCTCACTAAGCATGATCTTTTCCAGCTCCATCCAAGTTGCTGCAAAAGAATGTGTTTCTCTTTTTTGGTGCTGAGTAATATTCCATTGTATATATGTACCACATCTTTTTTTTAACATTTATTTATTTATGCATACAGAACTGGGGTACAGGCCTGAAGCTCAGGGGTGGTGAGAGGCTTCATCAGAGACAGAGTGGGGAGCAGAACAGGCAGATCGACCAAGTACACTGCTGAGGGGAGCAGCGGGTGAGTCAGGAGAGGTCTGCCACACCATGTGGTCACCTCTGGAGCAGGTGGGAATCGAACTCATGCAGAAGCAGCTTTAGATTCTCAGTGCTGTGCTTTAACCCATCGCACCACCAGGGAGGGCCTGTGCCTCATCTTTTTAATCCAGTCATCTACTTTTGGGCATTTGGGTTGCTTCCATGTTTTTCCAATTGTAAATAAAGCAGCAGTAAACATGGGGGTACAGGTATGTTTTTCAATCAGTGTTTTTGTGTCTTTTGGGTAGGTACCTAGGAGTGGGCAGTTTTGGGGTTTTTTTTAAGTGGCTATAGATCTTTACACTTAAAATTGATATATAGTCATAATACACCATTAGATCCTATTCTGTTATTATAGAGCTAATAATATAGCTTGAACAGTTCTGTTTCCTATATATAAATAGCATTATTTGCAGTGAAAACTTGTAATTCAGCTACATCTATGGAAGAAGGGATAGTATGTCCATTGTAAGGAGATTCAGATAAGTTCAAGATGAAGCTACAATAGAGAGGTAAAATCTTATAACTCCAATCACTCACTGAGTCTGATTTAGCTGTTTCCATTCTGGAAGTTAGACCTAGCTTTGAATCAAATCCAAGTTACCCTTTGGATACCATGGTCATGATGGTGTTACTATTGGCTTAGAACTCTCCTGAAACCCCCTATACCAAAAAAATGGCATCCTAGATCATACTTGGAGCTTAACAAGTCTCAAAAAAACTTCTAAAATGTGACTTATCCTGCGTGGTCCTCCTTAAGCTTTCTAAAGAGGCAGCTCTATCAGTTTTACTATTGAAACTTCAAATTTAGGTACAATACCTTCAGAAAGGAAGTCCCACTATTTTCTGCATTTGAAATTCCTTTAAAAATGTAGAGTTAATATTTGCATTTCTGCTGATACTACTTGCTAAACAAAGGACTTGATTAGGCTTATTCCTACATTCCTTTAATAGGATGCAGAAGGCATTTGCATTGTAATTTAAGTAGCCAAGTGCACACGAGCAAGCTGTATGAACCTAAATGAAGAAGAAACAACTACTCCATAATATTGACCCACTCCCAAAACTAGCCCAGTGCTCTCATTCGCTATTTCATAGGAAGCCTCTATGTGTAGCAAATATGTATGTCAACCTGTGGCAACCTATATAGATGGAAGAATTAACAGCCATATTTTTAGTAAGAGTTTTAAAGGCTTTGATTCCAATAGCATTCTTAGTAACAGCTGCATTGTAGAATTGTTACAGGGTAGGGAGAGGGACACCCCTGAACCCCCAAACCTGCCTGTCCTAAATACGTTCTACGGCATCAAGACAAAACATATAATACCTTTAATGGAAAGGAACTTTAATACAATCAGTGTGCAATACAACAAACATAGAGAATATAGCCTCTAAATCAAACACCCAAATTTACCCATCCCCTCGTGGGTAAAAGTCCACCCAAAGGGTATTGGCTCAAAGCAAAGCCTGAAAGTCCACCACAAGTCTAAAGCACCTCCTGGCAGGAACCCGTAGAAAAGGGTCAGACATGGACAGACAAGTCTGAGAGGAAAAGAACAAAATTAAAAGCAAGATAAACACTGCCATAGTGAACCTCCACAAGGGTTTCTCACTCACATCTGTTTCAACTATTCCAGGACCAAGAAACAAGAGCCATTTCTTTACATGTCTCTCTGATCTATGTGGCTCCCTCAAGTCTCCTGGCTTTCCATCCTTCTTCCTCCTCAGTCTCCTCTCCAGATTCTTCTTCCTGCTCAGCTCCACCTCCTTTTGGATCCCCTTTTACCTAGGAAGCACCCTGTTACAGAATCAGTAAGAGTATTTTTTTTTTTTAAAGAAAAGCCCACTGTCAGACTCTTGGGCATAGTTTCCAGGCATTTGTATTGTTTTTAAAGAGGGTGTGGTCTTGCCCCCCTCCGCTAGAGGGCCCAGACATCCCGTGTGGGAAGCCCTTGAAACAGAAATTCTGGCGGGGAGAGGGCTGTGCGGAGAAGGAGGTTCTCCCAGCCGGGAACCTGCAGCAGGGCTCCACGGGGGCAGGGCAGCGGCATGGTGCAGGGGACGCTGGACACCTGCATCCCCAAGCCCAGCAGACCAGTCCCAAACTTCTGGGCGCCCTGGCTGGAGGCCCTCAGGGAAGGGCCCTGGGGCTCCCTGGTACATGTCCAGCCTCGGCCCTGCCACCGCGCAGGGGCCTCAAGGGGGTCGCTGCTTGCCCAGGTGTGTTGTCGGCACCTTTGCACTTCCTGCATTTGGCGATAACCCCAGCAAGAGCCAGCGGTGGGCAGGAGGAGGACGAAGGCCAGGGCCAGGAGCACGTTGGCTAGAAAGGCTGCCCCAGGGGCGAGGCGTGCAGATGGCCAGCCGGGGCGCCCAGCAGCGGTCGGCCTGGCACTGGCTCCCGGGGCTGCCCTGCAGCGTGTAGCCCTCCTCACAGGCCACCATGACGCTGTCCCCGTAGCAGTAGGCCTGTCCTGCAGCCAGCTCCTTTCAGACGCACTCCAGCGGCCACAGCAGGCTGCAGTTCACCTCTCCGCAGTGGTGGGCCGGGGAGTTCCAGGTGCCCTCCTCTGTGCAGAAAACCAAGGCCACGCCCACCAGCAGGTACCCCGGGTCGCAGGTGAAGGTGACGGCCACCCTGAGCCCATACGGAGGGCCGTGTGGGTCAACCAGCTGTCGGGGGGGGGGGGGTGTCTCAGAAGTCTGCGGGCACAGGGCAGGTCCCGTGGGCTCGTAGCGGAGGGCGGGACCGCTCCAGATGTGGGGTGTCCCCAGAGCTCCCAGGTAGGGGTCCTCCTGTGAGTGTGTTCACAGGTGTAGGTGACAGCCACTCCGTAGGGGAAGTCCAGCTGTATGTCCCTGGAGTGCGCCCCGTTTTCAATGGCAGAGGGCGGGGGCGGCACAGAAGATGCTAGCTGCTTAAGCCCACACCTGGGCCACAGGTGCTCACAGGACACCAGGGCCATGGACCAGGGAGGTACAGGAAGCGCACAGCCCCCTTTCTGAGGACACCCCAGTCTTCACCCCCCAACACACATCCCTCTCTGCCCGCGGGGCCACCCCCTGATAGTCCGGGCGATTTTGTTGAGGAAATTGTGTTTGAACTAAAACAGCGGGTCTTAGTCTTGATTGTGCACTGGAATCACCCAAATGACCAAAAATCATTCATGCCATTCATGAGAAACTCCAACTCTTTTGGATTATAACCTCAACATCATAGTCATGATTTTTCAAAACTGCTAGGATTAGTGGAATAGGAAATCAGGTGAGATGGGTTTAGATTGGACTATACAATAAGGTAAAGGAAGCAACTCAATTTTCCTCTGGCAATGACAAACAAGCACAAAAAAAAAAGTATTATTTCTGTGAAGGAAATGTCTTCTGTGGCTATGAAGTAGTTAGTTTGGTTATAGTATTTATTAATTAAAATATATTGAGCAGTTTTGGGGAAAATTCATTGGCTTTTAGCGTAAGACATCTCATAAAATGAATATAAACCTTTGAAAGGGGTGTAAATTGGTCTTTCCATTGGCATTTGTTGGACTTGCCCATTTTTCTTCCACACCTTCAACAGTGGTTCTTAGTGTATTCTCCCTGGACTAGTAGCTTCAGTTGCTGGTAACTTACTAGAAATCAGATTCCAGGGACTACAGCAGATGTATTGGATCAAACACTCTGGGAATGAAAACCATAAATTAATTTATGGTTTAACAGGTCCAGAAGTACTGCCTCAAATTAAACCTTGGTGGCCGGGGTAGTATAGAGGACATTCAAAAATGCAAACCACTACTATCACCAGTCAGGCTGGCCTTCTTCACACCTAACCCAGAGAAGGAAAACTGTCAAGTGGACTGTACTTTCATTCATTGCAAATAATTATTTTTTTAAATGGGGCTTACAAACATCCATTTTTATGAAATATTTTATATTTAATTATCAGTTCCTATATTATCAATGTCTGTGTTTGTATGTTGAATTTTAAAACATAAAACAAATGTGCATACATTGTGGGAACAAAATTATGGATGGAAACTGTAATACTAGAGAACCACCTAATATAAGCTAGTAACATGAAATATATTTTAAGAGTCGGCCTGTGGAGAAGTTAATCCACAGAGGTAAGAAAGGGCAAGGTGTAGTTTTAGAAATTAAATACAATCTTACAGTTAGCTGTTTTTACCTCTTCTTCCCTTGAGTACAAATGATAGCAGAGTCCTTGAGCTGTCCCTAATGTGGTAAATACTTCTGGTATACAAACTCTAGAATGAGCCAGGGTAGCTATTAAGTTCCCTATAAATCAAACAAAAAATGCTTAAATTATTTAATTTATAGTTATTCATTTGTATATGGTATCAAAGAAGATTTGAGTTTTATGACATCTCTGCTAATGAAGTGTTGAGGAAAATTTTGTACAGCATATGTTAAATGTTATAGACCCTCCCCAAAATTATGGTTTTATTTTCTGTCACAGTCAAGGTAAAATAGGTTTATATAAGAATGAGGTATCTTGAAAATTAGATGTTTCTTTTCCCAGATGATTTCATAATATGTTTTGAGAAATATATTTTGCAATGATTTTTTAAATAATTATGAACATAATGATTGAACTACTGCAAGAAAATATAACATACTTTTTGCAATTCAAATAGCTTTGACTTAAGAGCTTAATGGGACTTAAAATCAATAAATTGCTTTTGAATTTAAGATCTTTTAATTCCTTGCTTCAAGTTTTAAATAAGAAAGTGATTCAGTAATGAATAAATGTGCAGCTTAAAACTATCCCGTTCAAATCCATACTTTAGAACTCTCATATGATATTTTTTCACAGTATTATTCCTATGCTAGAATAAGTGAAACAAATTTTAAGATATAAATGTATTTTAACATTTGTGGATGGTTACTTCATTGAAATTATTAACCATGTTTTTCTACTCTGCCTATTTTATCCTGGCCCTCATTTTATGCCTAGCTGAGTTTTGTATTTATTGCCTCAAGGTTAGAAGAGCTCGGTTATATGGCTAAAAGCAAAAAATGTTTAAAGATATCTTTTGGACCTATATTTCTACCAGTCTGAGTTTATAGAAGAGGAAGGGAGAAAGGTAAGTGACTTTAAGAACTAGAGCAAATAAAGAAAGGCATGAGTCAAAGCATCCGAAGGAGAAAGAGTAAAAGGAGAAGATTTGAGTGACAACAGTTAAGATAATTCTTTCTGCAATGTTTTCACTGCTATATGGGTTCACCAAAAATCCTGCTACAGGTCAGAGGATGGAAAAAGGAGAAAGAAAACAAGATAGGAACCCAGAGGCATACATCTGTCACCCTTGAAGAATGAATGGGATCATCTATAAAGATTTGCAGATAGAAAACTCACCTTGGACACTAACTATTGTCTATGCCTATTATCTTGTAATATGGGGACAGTGAAAATACTAGCTACCTGCCTATCAACCTTATAGAATTATTATAAACAGCAGATGAAATATAAAAGCAAAAGGACCTTATAGCTTGTAAAATTCTACATAAATAAAGATCCTCATAGATAGTAGAATTTTATGAGGTGCAAGGGATTGATATGGAAAATATTGTGAACATTACAAGTCTGTAATTATTTTTCCAGACTCTGATATTTTTCAACTTTTCAAGTTTTCACAGAAGAAATATTTATTGATTTGAAATTTTAATCTCCAGTTTTATACCTGAAATGCTGCCATTGCCCTCTCAGTTTCAACAGTTGATTCAAGAAAAGGCTTGAGAACTGATATGGTTATCATTTCTCTTTTGTTGTTGTTGTTGTTTTTAAAGTATTGTTGAAAGCAGCTACTGAAGGCAAAGAGGTTTACTGCATAGCATGATTTTAAACAAATATCCTAGAAATAAGAGAAACAGGCATTATCTTTAACTTACTTCATTATCAGCTGGGGAGTAAGAACTACAACAATTTTTGTCTATTCTTGGAGCAGCAAGTGAATTTCTGCAAGTAATTTTTTAAGCAAAGAGGAAAGAAACTTTTGAACCTTATAGTTAATGCCAATTAATACATGTACAAAGGAAAAACAGAGGAGATTTTATTTGCTATTAATCAAATGTCACCATAATCATTGTTGCATCAGTGTATGCTAAAGTTGGTGAGCCAAAGTATGATGCAACACAGAATATTTACAGTGGAGAAATATGACAGACACCACTTTGATCAAGTTCTCCAACTTAATGCTGTCAGTTACAAAGCATATCATGTTCTCCTTGAAATGATAATGGGAAGTTAAGGCAAGAAGATCAAATCACTTGTTACTCTCTCCAAAATGGAAATCTCAACTGAATCATGAACAAAAATCAGATAACTCTAATTTAGGAACATACCACGAAGTAATTTTCCTGGATTCATCAAAAATTTCAAATATCATAAAAGACACCTCATTGAGTTTCACAGGTTAAAGATGACTAGAGAATAAGACAAACACATCACTTAGGAGTGATGTGGGATCCTGGGTTGGATTTGGAAACTGAAAAAGGGGAGTTTGTGAGAAAATTGGGAAAATTTAAGTAAGATCTGCATATTACTTAACAGTATTGTATCTGTTTTCTGGATGACATTCAGGAAAGCTGAATGACGTCTATACCAGAACACTCTATTGTTTTGCAAATTTTTATAAAATCTAAATTTATCTTGAAATTCAATTAAAAATTGATTTGGTGGTGGTTGCCTTACAGTAACTATGGCTGAAAGGAAACAGGGAGGTGGGGAGATGTATACTTGCAAAAGATCAATGTAAGCAAAAAACTTCAATAAAAGAAAATTAACTCCCCATTACTAATTTCTGGGCAAAAGCTATTCTGAAATAGTTTGGAAATATTTGTATAGCTTATTATGCAAGAAACAGACATTGAAGTTTGAAAGACAATAAAATTTAGGTTGAAAGTTTGATGCATTCTGTGACAGAAGAGACCTGCCTTGACTCTTCACCAAGTGTAAAAATGGCTATATTTAAAAACTTAAATGTGACGACTATGAATAATATGAAATAATATTATTTCAAACTAATTACAACCAAAGAGAGTTTACATTCTTGAATAACATTTAGGTTTGTTATGAGAATGACAATAATTTGAGTATGTGGCCTAACAACCATCCTCTTCTAAACAAAGTGTAACATTATATAAAGTTAATTACCTTTTCTGGTGAGTGAATGAGACAAAGGACTTCACCATACTCAAATCCTTCACGTTTTCATAATCCATTTTGTAATACAACTGATCATTCCTTAGGACAATGTATGCCAAAGAAAATGCCACTTCAACCTAAATAGGTGGTTTCCAGAAATTAATTAATTGATTTAATTTTTAAAGATTTATTAAAAATATACATACAGAGCTGGATTACAGGCCAGAGGTGCAGGAACAGTGACAGCATTCACCAAAGACAGAGTGGGAAGCAGAACAAGCTGACTAAAAAGTACACTGCTGAGAGGAACAGCGGGCGAGCCAGGAGAGGTCTGCTGCGCCATGTGGGTCACCTCCAGGGCAGAGATCAAACTCATGCTGAAGTGACTTTCGCTTCTCAGTGCTGTGCTTTAACCCACTGTGCCACCAGGGAGGGCTTGAAATTAATTTATTTTTAACTGGCAGTTTATCAAATGGCATATTTCATTATACAGCATTGATAAGGGACACACTAATTCAAAGACACTATAAAATGTGTTGACTCCAATTTATTAAGAGTGTAGCATTGACATTTAGAGGAGTGCCCCTTATAATTTTTAACAGAAGACTTTCATCTGTGTACCATTGCAACCACAAAA